ATAATGAAGGTACTGTTTAAGTTCTTTTGGCTGGCATGAGAAAATTCTCTCTTGGTCGTATGGCGTGCAATGCACTTTTCTAAGTTCATTTGGACTGTCATTTTACAGTTTTTCTGTGAAAACTGCGAAAAAAAGACGAATGACTTATAAAACCAGTTAACGTTGTATAATGAAGATTAGCAGTTACTATTTATAGATATGCTTGTAATTCTCCGTTGTTTTACTGGATTGAATTGTTTAACCTCTGTTGGCAATATGGGCTACTATGTGGGTGACTTAATGTTGCCTGAATGTTAATTACGGTAATTTACTTGTTTGTGCCTAGCGGAGGAATTCAAGGAGTGCGTTTCGTCCTGTTTAGTACTAATTACAAGCATATCCATAAAAAGTGATAACTAACACTCGTTGCACAAGAGGTAGCTATCGTGCCTCCGTGATTAAGTGCGTAATGCAATGAAGTTTAAAGCGATAGGCACGAGGTTCGAGTCTCACTGAAAAGAACATCACTCATTGAAGTGCAGGTCCATCCACCTGACGTCTCAAGTAGAATGAAAACGAGCTTTCTAAATTCTTCTGCTAGCCACAAACAAGAAGATTGAAAATGTTTTAATTAAAGTAGTCAATAGGTCAATGATACTGAGCTGTATTTTTCCAAAACCCCAAAAACTGGGCGTTTGAATTTTAAGAAGCTCCAGAAAATAACAGCGTTGTTTTATGGACAGGAGGGATAGGAATATTTGGCATTTATTCGCAGAATTTTCATTGTTTACTTTGAAACATGATCTCTTATTCAGTTTCTTATTTTTCTGTGCTAGTAAACCTTGGAAAAAACTGACGTAACAAAAGGTTTTGGGGTATATGTGTATTTATACTTAGAACGAAGTATATAAGAGTTCTAATCGAATTACATAGGTTTGGTTAGACTTACCTTTCGTTCAAAACCTTACACCATGTTTATCTTAAATTAAAATGAAGTGTTGTGGGAGTGGTTTGCTTTCAGAAAACATCGTTTTCAATACCGTAGACAAAACAGTGCATTTCAGCTTGACAGAAAAGTATAAAAGTGTAGAATAATTATTTAATGGTAATACCTGAAGACGTTACAGTTAGCGTGTAAATACAATTACTGTCATGAAAAAATTATTTGTTTTGATACAGTTCGGTTTGCCTCTAGTTTTACACTGTCGGTGGTACCCACTAATGCACCAAAAGGTGTATGTCACGCGTTTCATGTCAAAAAGTACCGCTGATTATTGATAGTATAAGCGAAGCTTATCCACGTGTAGATAAGAAATAAGTTGAATAGGATTCTATCAGCTATCTTTTATCGGGTGACAGTTACGCCGTTTGCACTGTCATATACACTATTGAAGCAGATGGTACATTGATACTGTGCATACCATAGTAACTGGGATACTCTAGCCTTGTGAATAATTCTACTCACATTGATACGCTTGTCATCATAGATGAAATATATTCATGGTTCCTGAGTAAAGTAAATGTAATTTTTGTTATCCCTACCAACCTCATCACTTACTTTGGTGAATTTTGTGCATAGGTGATAGTAAGGTACTGTTGCTCTCGTTGATTTGAACCAACCTAATCTGAAATTATTTCCGGTCTTGCTATTAAATTAACATATATTATGCGCCTTATTTTACACAAGTTGTTACGAACTTTTCTATGATTTATTTCTTATATTTAAGAAACTGAAAAAAATTAAAGGTTAACAAAGAAGTTGTTAAATGAACACAACACGTCTGTGATCACTCTTTTGAAGATTATGGAGTTCGTAACGATTAAAGAGCATCCGAAGGATTCTGGAAATGATAAAGATAGATGTTTTGAACTATCACGAGAACATTCCTTATAAATTTTGTAATAGTCCGAAGTTCTGATGAATTATCTACTTTCAAAGTAACGATATAACAGGCTTTTACCAAACGATAGACGAAATGGTAATTATAATAAAAGCTTTGCCTTTTTAACCTCTGTTCTGAAAGAGTAAGGTGTCTAAAACGTCTTTCTTCGATATTCAGTGGGTTTATCAAAGCTAAATTGAATGTTCTAGAGTTTAAACTCACCAAGTACATTCCTACAAAATTTCATGAAATCGAAAAAATGAATGTTCGTTGCTGTGTTTGAATAACAGTCTGATTCACTTCAAACTCAAAAATATGCATGCGTATAAAAGTATTTCACAAAAAAACAATTAGAAAAGACTTTATTACTTCAAGTAAATTTCATTTGCCTGTATTAGTTCTCTTATTTTTAACTTGAAGTATATTTTTGAAGGTCTGGCTGTTTCACCTAAAATTTCTGGAAAATATGTGCAAAACAATAGTTACTTACTCAACTGACAGAGCTAAATGAAACAGTATTTTTGTTCATCACAAGTCGAATGAAGTATAGTGACTCTAAAAAGAGAAGCACTTTAGGATATATATACTGTTGCTTTAGACTTACCCTCACGTAAAGTTATTTTTGAATGTTTGTTTTAGTAGGTACCATCTACTGTGCATACATCTTTTAGAAATAAAGTGAATGCTCAACAAAAAGAGTAGTGCTAGTGTTATTGCATAGTTGTTCTGTTTGTCTATTTTGTAACCAGGAAAGGCTAAAGTTTTTTATCATTTTTACTACATATGAAGTAGAGAAAGGAAATCCCTGCTTACTCATTACCCTTCTGAAACGATTCTTTCATTCGTATTATTTTTATTGATCTTTAAAAGAATTTCATGGAAGTTCTGATGTGACGGTGATAAATATGCTCCCATATTTACATATTGTGAAGCTATTTCATGTCTTCTTATAATGGAGACAGTGTTCGCTTTAATACCAAACCAAACGCATAGTCATCTTTTAGGTTCTTTATGGTGGCCGATTCAACAAATGATGGAAAATGTGAAAGAAATTTTTATTCTTATTCTGTTTGTTTTGGTGATAAGTTTCTTTTCCTCTTATGTATACGTATATTCTTCACTGTCATTGTGCTCCTGAAATATTCCAGAAAAATAGTGGAATAACCACCTATTTGCCTTTTACACTTTGAAGAATGCATATATTGCAAAATAATGTTTCGTGAACTATTCTATAAACAGTAGGGTTTTGATCACGCATGAATCATATAACAGCCAGGATGAAATTAGTTAGTTCTCGGTACCAGTAACGAATTTTTATTGACTCACTGTATCTTTAGAATAATCTTTATAATTCTAAGAGGCGTTTTCTGATTTGAAATGTGCATGGTGCGATTGTTGCAGTGATTGGTTTAATGCGGTAATAAATGTTAAACTGGTATTATATCATAACGGTGTCTCTGTTAGGCTAATACTCTCAGGCCATTTAAATATCCTCCACATATCACATAGGGTCCAGTGAAAGTAACACCTTTGCTGTGCAGTGAATATCCTTCACTCAGAGTGAGATTTGCACAAAATTCCCAAGTATTTCTGAGAAATAACTGACATTGTTTTATCACTACTTCTTCCATCCACTTACTGCTTTACATGTCCAACCGTGTTGGCATTAAATGATTTCATATCATGAGACTATGCATTATGACGTTTGACATTACAGTATTCCGTAAGCGAACGTCAAAACTCATTTACGATATTGTTAACCATCTTCCAAATAATCCGAAGCAAACTGTATTTAAACAATATTAAAATCATAATCCAGCTGGGGGTTAATTTTATTTTTCAATTTTAGTCTGTTTAACAATTTTTAGTATACTTTAGTTGTTCATTTGTTTTACTGACTTTAAATCTTTTGAAATTAAGTGTTTCAGATTCCATAAAGTTTGGAAAAAATACTATTAGTGAGTAAACTGGTATTTATGCTACGGTAGTCATGCTATTACTATGGTATATTGAAATATATTGCCAATCTGTTCGGTGTAACTATACCCTGACCCCAATTCCGCATGAATGTAGACAAGCTTGGATGTACTTATGAGTTAAATTTCACGGAACCAATTATCGATCACTGATTCCACTTAATTTGAGAGATGAGATTCATTTCCGCTTCGGTCACTATTTGTGTAAATGCATTCCTTTGGGTTAGTTAATTGGCTATCCCTCAAAAATTTTAAAGAGTGAAACGTGCGACCCATATCTAATTTTCTTGGAAACATTTGTACGGAAGATATTATATGCGTCGAAGTAAGGCATAATAAGGAGTCATTTCTAAAACAGACATTAAATTATGCATAATACCATAAGACATACCGCTGATAAGAGAGAAGAGTGACTTTAAAGACCAATCTGGTAACTGCTATAATGACCAATCAGCTTTCGATATTCCACCTGGAAGAGTAGTATTCCATAAAGTGGAGGAAAGCGATTGGTTATCTCATGAGTTGCTAGGTTGACCCTTAAAGTCGCTCAGAAAGAATAGCTCTCTTTAGCGTTCCTTTTGACGTCTCTTGGACATTTGAAATGGTCATGAATTTGTTAGAAATTTAAAAAAACACAATTTTAGGATAATTATCTCAGTTAATATCTGATCTAAATATTTTTTACTACATTCTGGTTGCGACAATGGTTAGCTTAGTTAGAGCGTAAGCAAGTAAATCACTATTTTATTTAAATTTCAAGTTTCAAACGGCCAATTAAAACAGTGCAATCTTTGCTCTTCTTTTATACAAACTGATTTTACTTGTTATGTGACTTTTAAAACGGTTAACTTAAGAATCTTACGACAGATTTGTCATTATGAAGGTGACTTTGTTTTCCAAACATCTCGCATTTTTCTTTTCGTCAACAGTTGATAAGCTGTGTTTGTTAAGTGAATTCTGACTGATTTATTGTTTGGTAACACCTATTCATAGTTGTCAACAGGATTATACAAAACAGGTATACAATGGAAATCCATAATGGTATGTTTTATTGTGTATTAGAGTCCAATTACTGTTGTACATGGAATCGCATGGAAATCACCCTCCTAAGAAATCTAGGTTAAAACAGTTATTCACTTATGCTTTTCTTTTCATTTTGTAGAGAATCGTTCAAAAGCAACACATTATCAGAGATGAAAAGCTTCAGACTGTTAATTTGACAAAAGTGGTACGAATGAATTGTTTCTGTTGAGGACCTTAGGAAAATTAGTAAACAGAAGCAGATGAGTAATAACGATGATGATACATCACAAACAAGTGTGGCAAGATTTCAAATAAGACATGATTGTACTGGTCATGGCCGCATACCAACGAGGCAATGATAGGTAAATAATATATTTATTTCTGACTTTGCATAGGGAATCACTGACAGTAAAATACTTTGGATAAGTAAATAACTGTGGTATTACTATGAGGTGGACTAGTTATTATTCAATATGCCATCATGACGGGTAGGTTACAGCTCCATCTGTTCACTGATAATAGTTTTCAGGGATAGCCTGAATGATGTGGTAGATAACGCTTTTTGATACTGTTGATACCTCACCTAGGATTCGATAATGAGTCAACATTCCTGAACGATCCTTCGCTTCTAATAGTATATCTGAAATGAATAGATTTTCAACATTTTATTTTAACTTATTTGTCCTGTTTAGTTGTCTTACATTTCTAGTGTTTCACTTTTATTATTTCTTTTACAGAATACTACTGAAATATAAATAAAACTCATTTGCAAAGCATGCAGCCCACTTGTACAATTGAGGTTTGTCCTGCGTCACCAAAACCGGAAGAACATCAGAGGAATGGAAATACAGCTAATTCAAACGATATAAATGCAGCAGTAAATCTCTTACAACCTTCTACAGCAAACCGTAATAATTTCCCTGAGCCGCGAAATCCTGCTGTGGGTTCTGTTGACCCCTACACTGAAATCAGATTGTCTAACTCTTCGTTTAGCGTCTCGTCAAATCAGCGACAAAAATCATCGAGAATACGGTCGAACAGTAAGAATGGTACTACAAGCACTGCCTTACTAAAGTCCACAAAACTCCCAACTTGGAGAACTCATAAATATGGCAAATACTGCTGGAAAAGTTGGATCACCTTCGTTCACCTTGTTATTGCTTTCAGAGCTATAATTGTACGTATTGGATTCATATGCTTCACGTGTACTGCTATTGTGACTGTTGTGAAAGAGAAACAAGATGCAAGATTTTGGTTTTTAGCTCTGACAATTATACCTCTGTTGATCGACCTAATAATAGCTATCAAATCATACATTTCTGGAAGGTCTGTGGCACCAATAATATCTAAATGGTAGGTCATTTACCGTGTATTACTTCAATATAGCACTACGGAATGCTTTATATTTGGGAAAAATATTTGACTTCAGGTATTTCTGTTTGACTAGTTGTAGCGTTATCTGAATGTCTTCCAAATTAATATTGTAGAATCCAATGGTAAAAAATTGTTTAGCTTGTTTGCCAAAGAAACAACTTTTTAACTTCAAACGGAAGTCTTTCCTATTTGTTTGTAATGAGCATAATGCTGGAAAGTTATACCAGAATAGTCAGTATCATGAGGAAAGTGAACGTCTTCATAAAAGTTTCTAAAAATATTTAATCACTAGATATTAGTCTGTGCTACTGACCACATACGTCATTCATCTAGCACAACACACTTACTGAGCTGATGCTTATGATATTTCATCTTTGTTGAGATAACTTGGTATTTCAGTTTGAAGCTCAAGGTTGAGTACTTTATTTCAAGTGGTTTGTCAGCACAATTTAAAACAAATCACACCCCAAATATCTAACTGATGATAACGTAACAAAGTGAAATGCAATCGAGAAACACTATTTGTCACTTCATTAATACTATCAGTTGTGCTGTTCATCAGTGTCTTCTTTTTACGAGTCACTATTTATTATAAGCATGCAGGATAATTCATTGATTGGTCACTTGAGATCAACCAGTTTCATGTTATAACGTCCTGAGTACTGAACAAACTCTGTCGATCATTTTTCAGTGTAACCAGAAAGCCAAGAGGACCAGCATAGCGCTGCGCTTTGACTGACGTCAGATGGCTGGAGACAACTGGTAGGAAATCATGGACTTCGCTTTCGTGCCTGTTGGCATTCGTCAGCAAGGCGCATATGCGAACTCAAGGGAAATAGTGCCCTTTCTTAGATTCGAACCCGCACCACCTAGTGTCATATTCAGAAACGTTACCACCGGACCACTTGGTTGGCGATTGGCCTTTGACATTGGCTGCCACACAGCAGAATGATTTCGCCTTTCCAAACAGATGGAAATCTATGTAACGGCTAATTCGCTTAAATTTTACTTTCTAATGTGACATGCAAACTACTCATGTATACAAACGATAATTTCAGTCGGCTATGTGCTCCTATTGATTTCACGCTTATCGACAGGGTGGAGAATCATTCAAATATAAAGTGACAATATAGTACCTGACTAGAATACGACTTTACACTTACGATATGGGTGTTTATGTTAGTTCGCTTCATGTCTGCTAGTCATTTTAACACATCCAGTGACAGTCGAAATAGGAATCAGTTTTATGCAACCCATACAGTTTGGCATATTTTAACTCTATTAATAACTTGAAGTTTTAGTTTTCAAACATTCTTTGGTTGTGTGAAATATCATTATCCCTAGTGATAGGAAAGCGACGAATTTGCGAAAAAATTAGCCAGAGGGCGGATTTCGATTAGTAGCTTTTAATCACTAGTTTGTACATTTTTCTTGGGGTATCAGAACATTATTTCTGTCAAGTATGGTCTAAATGTGGCCATGTTTTAAATAATTACTGCTAGAAAAAATGGTCACCCGCCTAATATAGACAGTTAATAATAACTAATAACTTGTGAATGTCGGCGTACTTACTGCAAGTGACAGTATGCGGTACTTTCATCAAAGGTAAAAACTCTAGGGCTAATACCTAGGAACTGTACACTATTCTCTTACAAGCTGTAAGATTTTCAATAATCACACTTTTCAAGAAATTGATTCCAGTATTCTCTGTAGCAAGTTTGATAGAAAACCACAGAAATATTTTCCCCTATCTTATGGGTGGTATATTATTCTGCCTGTTTTTCACGATGAAGTAAAAGACACCATTTTACTGTTCCATTTTAACCAGTCTTGGAAAATTTTCTGCTTTCCAAAGATATACGCAGAAGACATGAGCTTCAGTGTTTTCCATGTGCCTCATATTCGCAATCCGAGTAATATCGAATGATATATTACTAGTTCGTATTATACGTAAAGGTTTCTCTTATTGTTTCCTCTTTAAAAATCTGACATTTAAATGATTGTTGTCTCAGCATAATGATTGCACACGTGAATGTTTATTCATCCTGAAGTTGGTAATTAAAATTAAAAACATTAAAACAAAACCAGCTGTTCTGTTTTCGTCATAGGTCAGACATAGAAAATGATGTTATAAAAATATTCTCGAAATATTCACATCAACATACCTAATAAACATTGGTGTTTACTGTGAGTTTTAACTATCAGCATTTTCATTACAAAACGAAGATTTCTGCAGTCATTGTAAATAAAGAAATATATTTGCGTTATATGTTTTCACCAATGGTTAAATATGGAAGAAATCTTAAGCGTGACAAAATAAATTCACATATTGTACAAAATATTTTGCCTTCCAGTTATAATTTAACTTCATTTGAATAACATTTTCATAAACCTGAACATTTTATGTACTGCAATTAATAGCTTCTTCTTCAAAGTGATCCACACACTTCGTTATAAAATCAATCCACTGGAACCATAGAAATTGAAAGGTACACTCTTGTATATCATAAAAGCAAGAGAATAATTTTCTCATAAACATTTACTACTACCGTGAATAAATAATTTGCGAACTTCACGAATGAGCTTGTAATTACGGTCGAATTGGTAATTGTTGACAGTGACGTATTTAGAAAAAGAGTGATTGAATGAATAAATATATTTCTTTTCAATTAGGTCTCCATCTTGGGCTCTACACTAATATATAGGTTTACAATTTCATCAAATCACCAATCACGTGGTGGTATTTCGGAAACAATGATGTAAATAATCAATAGAGTTGCTGAAATAGGAAATATGAATATTGATAGAAACAAGAAGGGGAAGAGGTGCACAAATAAACATAGAAGTTACATCATGTTGACGGCCACGGTAATGAAAGTGGTCGAACAAACTTCTTCTGGGTACAAAGGCTAGGTTTGTAAGGGTGGATTGCAATTGCCTCTGCTATGTGAAGTAACCGAGTGCGTAACCCATGAGGTAAATTAATTGGAATCTGATGGATGACTGTGAAGGCTTTTCCAGTAACCACTTGATGTCCTGTGTCAACTAAGTGTCCAAGTATGGAGTTCTTTATAGTTCTAATTTGTCCTTTGTTCAACCATGATGGGGGGTGCTCAGAAATTCGACGATGGAACTGCCTCATTGTACTCCGAATGTAACTCACTCTACAGGAACAGTTGAATTGATAAATGAACACAGAAGTGGCAGAATGAGACAGTTTGTCTTTATTTCTTGCACCTAGAATTGGACGGTTGTAGAAGGCGGGACATAATTTAGCGGCTGGGAATGCTTTATGCAAGACTCTTTTTATGCGTTGTGTGATGATCTCACTGGCATTATCACTCTTTAATTCCAGCTTCAAGAAGATTTACTTTTTGGAACTGTTGGCATTGTTGTCCTAACCCTCGTAATATTCATGTACTTAGTTACAAACTTGTCTGGGTAACCATTCCTACTAAGCAGATCACGGATGGTGGCGCACTCTTCCTTTATAGCATCTTCTGAGCAAATATCTGAGGCACGGTATGCTAAGCATTACACTAGGTTCCTTTTGTATTGGAGCGGCACAGCACTAAAGAAGTGAGTATATTGACCTGCTGATGTTGGCTTTCTATAAACGGTTCGCTTCAGGGTTCCATCTGACCTTCTTACCAAGAGAACATCAAGAAATAGGATACTATGATTTTTCTCCTCTTCCATTGTGAAGTTGACTGCTGAGTGAACACTATTGAACTTATTCAGAACAGCATTCTTATCAGTCTCACTTTTGAGAACTATAAAGATATCATCCACGTAACGACAATATAAATCTAAACGGCTAATAGTATCGTTCAGTGAACAATTCTCAAGTTTTGCCGGAAAGAAATCTTCTAGGAGTGAACCAAGGGGTGACCCCATGGCAACACCATCAGATTGCCGGTAGAGTGCATTGCTGAAAAGAAATTGTGCATTCATGGTACACCTCAGAAGTAGTTCTTTCAATGTGGATACTGGAATACCTATTTCCATGCCGTGCTTCGTGAGTTCCTTGCAAATAAAGTCTACTGTCTCCATTAAAGGAACGTAAAGTTTACTTTGTGCACCTCTTCCCCTTCTTGTTTCTATCAATATTCATATTTCCTATTTCAGCAACTCTATTGATTATTTACATCATTGTTTCCGAAATACCACCACGTGATTGGTGATTTGATGAAATTGTAAACCTATATATTAGTGTAGAGCCCAAGATGGAGACCTAATTGAAAAGAAATATATTTATTCATTCAATCAGTCTTTTTCTAAATGTCTAAATAGGAATATTCTATGTAGTGACATATTTTCCAGGTATTTCAGATTTAGTAACCTCAGAATCTAAAAGTCACTCATTGGAATAGTTCAATCCTCAAGCCCTAACATTTCATTTCTCATTAAATTTTTCTGACTATAACAATAAGAATGCAGCTCTATAACTTCAAATTCCTGTTTATTTGGTCTTTAATAGATATTTCTATGACTCTGTGTCAAAGAAAAATCAAATAACGTTCTTCGTGAGACATCCCTAAACGAAGTTAACTCCCCTTGCTGTGGTAGCAAGGAAGATGGAAAGGCCTATACACCATCAAAAGTGCACAGCGTCATTCCTATCACTATCCTGACTATTGATTTCAGTTGGTTCTCCAGCCTCATTGTCTGTGCAATATCAATATCAATCAATAATGATTAGACACTTTTTCGGGGCTCCATATGCAATGCGACCTTTTACTTAAACTCAAGTCGGAAAATCCATTGCGCAATCCAACGAAACTAGGTTCTAAACTGACGTCCGATGCCTAATTCAGAACTGACAAGTGAATTTGCCCACAGAAATCGAAGTGTTTCCTGTTATAAATGTATTCCGTGTATAAGTGGTTCACATAAGACTAATTGTTTTTGTCCACTTGTTCTCATTCATTTAATGCGATAAATGTGACATTCGTGCTAAGAGAAGGGTGCTTGATTGG